GCCTTTCACCAAAAAGTGTTTGTGCTTGAAAGCAAGTGAGATCAACTTTTTATATCTGTGTTCTGACACAATTTGTTGCTGATTAGTTCAAGAGGATCAGAGATGGAGCTTTCCAAGCCAAAAGAATGTCACTTCCTGTTGTCAGTGGTGTATTTTAGCCTTTCTATGTGAAAGTTACAGCTTTCTGAAATTGTAACGGACGGACCGACGAACAGAAAGCATTTCTAAGTCCCCCACCTCTGTGACGGGGGAMAAAAAGCCACATCAATCAGCTGAGTCTTGATCCTCACCGAGTCTTTGGAGGTACTGCACTGTTCGCTCGTGACCTTTCAGTGGAGAGTTGGCCTTAGTAGATTGGTCCAGCAGCACCTGCAGAGCTGCAAGAGAGCAACCTGATGAGAGGGCTGAAGGAAGGCAAGTGAAGAGCCGATGTGAGCTTAGTCATTATGTACTCCATCGTTTCTTCAACAGAACTTGGGTGGTGAACAGGAAGTGTTTTAATTAGCAGATGGAGGCAGAAAGTCATTGCAGGTCAGGTAAAACCTGCAGTGTTCATAATAGAGACTATCCAAAGTGTCAAAACCAAAAACATCAGAAGCAGCAGGACTGTTTTATTTTAGAACAGGGTGTCCAATCCTGATCCTAGAGGGCCACTACRCTGCACATTTGAGAGGTTTCTCTGTTCCAACACACCTGATTTTAATGAATGCGTTTTTACAAAGCTTCTGCTGAATTTAAAGATGTAATTTAATCACTGAATTAGGTGTGCTGAAGCAGGGAAACAAGTCAAACATACAGGGTAGCGTACCTTGCGGACCAGGATTGGACACCCCCTGATCCTGAGTGATGAAGAAACGACCAAATCCAGGAGGCCTCGTCTGAAATAAACTGTGTTTTGTCACAGAGCTGACACACAAACCTAAAGATGCTGCTTTGCTACAAACACACAGCTGATGCTCACTGAAGCTGAAGAATATAGAATAACTTAATTTAAAATAGATTTTATATTTGGGTTAAAAGGCAATGAGGAGATGGATAACAAGACGGAGAAGATCTGGCATAAAGTGACACTTGAGTAGACAACCACACTTAAGAGAAACTGGAAACTTATTTCTTGTTGCTAAACAATGATGGTCATGTTGAGGCTTATAAAAAATTAATTCCTCATTTTTCAAATGATTGTCTCATCTGTCGTCATCCACATCRTTTCTTTTAACATCAGCTTAAAATAAACAAATGAGATGTTCACAAAATTTACTTGAAGCTACAAATAAAAGCATAGCTAATAAACAGGGACCACATTTTCTTCCCAATAGCAAAAGAAGCTGCTTTTAAATCTTGTTAAAAAACAGTATTAGTTTTAAATAACAACAACAACAACAACAATAATGTTTACACAGCATAATCATTCGTTACGATCTCATGTGTCACATTGTGACAAAGTCTACTAACAGCCCGTTGAGTCTTACCTTTCTGATGTAAGCCCTTCTTTTCATAGAGAATAATAAGCTCACTGTACTTGTGGGCCTTCTTCAGAACGTACTCGCTCTCCTCAACGTGGCAGTGGTTGTTCTCCAACCGAAGAAGAGGGGACACGAGGGCCACGTTGGTCTGAAAAACAGGAGGATAAAAGCAGCTGTCACAAAAGAACAGTGTGCATTTCAAAACATCTTTCTATWCATCGTCTAAGGTTTTAAATAATAAAACACAAGGCACTCTAATAGACCCTCTGTTTAACAGGCGCTTTATAATCTGCTGCAGATTCGTGGAAATCCAGAGCAAACATAAGAGAAAAATGTCACAACTCTTTGAATATCCCTGGTGGTGTGTTCAGGATTTGTGACTGGAGTTTTTCTGATTAGGCACTAAATGTTAAATAACCCACTGAAGTGAAATTACATGTTTTTAGATGTTCATACCAGCAAATGAAGAAGAATTTTTTAGAACCTCTTCGGTGTGGACACATAGCCCAAACAAGCTGTAGAAAAAAATAGGTTTTGCTTCTTCAACACTCCTCATTTCTATAAAAATAAAGTTTATATAGAAATTGTAAAGGAAACTGCTTTGTTGACAAGTTCATCTCAATCACTAAATCAGCAGCTTGTTGAAAGTATTAAGTAACTTAATCTCCCAGTCGTTTAGCCTGGTCTGTGGCTCTGATGATCTCATTCCTATCTTATCCATCCTTGTCACTACCAAGGAAAACTTTAAAAGTTTCTGTTCTGACACGTCCACTTCTGTCTCCTGTCGTTTTGTCAAGAGGGGTCATTTCTGTGGAATTTGCAGTTCTACAACAATTATTATTTCTTTTAGGTTTACAGATATTTTGTAAGTAACATGAAACATTAGGAACAGATATGGCTGCATTATGAAAATCAGAAAAATCTGTAGTTTACTAAGTTTTAAGTTCTCCCTCAAATATCTGACCATCATACTTTGTCAAACTAAACTAAGAACATTTTCAGATTCCTGTTTTTTACGCTACATTTTGATACCAGGGTCATCCTGATAACATCAGTGGTTCCTGAAAATTTTCTTGATTTGTCTTGCTAATTAGAAAGACCTCTGAAAAATTGGCCTGAATCCTRTTTTTAGYGTAYTTTAACWAGGATTTCTTGACATCATTYGAAAGAGGAAACYTCAARTCATATCAGGATATCAGGATTTCACAGCTGGTATTGAAAATTGCTTTGCTAGCATGCAGGTAATGTAGACACATTTTAGAACCGTTCTACTCAAAATCCTTAATACTCCTCAGAAAAGTGCTTCAAAATGTTATTTAGGATTATATTTTAGACATTACAATGTCTCATGGATAAGCTTTTTTCTGTTATTTTGACATCTAATTGTAGATAAATTTTCAACAATGAACTGTAGCCACCTATAACTCACTGCAGTACTTTGCAACTTAATCCTCTGTTCAGTTTGACAAGTCATATACACAGTTAAAATCAAAAACCTAGATTGTGATCGTACATGCAGGTAACATTTCAGCAGCGTGGTGTCAATGATCTGCAGGAGTTTCTTGCGACTTTTGATGGTGGGCGTTCCCTCCATGAGAGGAGACGTCGTTGAAGGGTCRGAGTCATTGAGCTGTTTCACAAGATGGCTGCGTTTCTGTGAGGACAAAGGAGAAAAGTTTGGGTTAATACTTAATTCTTATYCTAAATTTCTCTTTTGTTCSTACGAACATGTCACGTCAGATTCAACAAAWGCTTCTGTCTTCAGGAAAAGTGTGTAAATGAGCWGCGTAAACATGATGAATGCCAYCTGTTCTTATTCAGGTGCTCGTGCACGACGAGAGGAAATGAACATAATCACCACCCCAATAATGCCATAAAAGGCTACGCTTCCTTCCGTACATAACAGGAAGTGTTCATTCATGAAAACGGCAGCGAAAAGTACAAACAAGAACTCTACGAGCTCGGAGATTGAAGTTCTGCTCTCAGAGATCCAGAAAAAAAAATCTGTCTTTTTAGCAGCATCAACTGTGAAATTAAAGGAGCTGTTGAAGCCAAGGAATGAAGTGACGACTGCAGTTAATGTTAATGCCGTGTCTCCTGTGGGTTGCTACAGTTAATGACTGTACGACCACGGGTGACATAAATATCAATATATTCAATTAAATAACCACCTTCCATCCAGTACTCCAACTTATCTGCTGCTAGAAATAAGTATCCACTTTTCCCTGTCCTGCTTTGCACTGCAGGCACTTTTATCTCCACTGCTGACAGTCTGCCTGCAACCCCACCCCCGTGAGTGAAAGACAGATTTATGAGGGCCACAGGTAAACGTCTGAAGGGGTTGACATGATTCATTTAAATAAAGAAGAAAAGGTTTGATTATAAAATTATAAATCCAATTCAAACAGAACAGCCTCAACATAATTATGGAGTGCGATTTATTTTCAACTCAAAGTATCTTCAAACTAATGAAATATAAAAGTTATTAGTGAAGAAAATCAGTCTGGATAACAGCAGACTGACTGCTTGTMAAATATACGACAGGTCTGGACCACACGTGAATTTTGTTCCCATCTGAAAAACATCTTACAATACAAAAGAATTGGTGAATGCGACAAATTCTCCGAAAACACTCATACRCACAACTTAAGAACAAATTTATTTGTACGAACGATTCTCGCATGAGGCCCATTGATTTGCAAAACTTTACCTGAAGTTTACCAATAAAATGTTTAAACAGTTACCTTATTTTAATTTGTATTAGTTTGGAAAGCATGCAACCATTTTCAGATCTGTGGATTTTACTTGGCATTTCTGTGTTGAGTAACACACACACACACACACACACACACACACACACACACACACACACACACACACACACACACACCTGGGTAAGATAATCAATGAGAGCAAGATGAGCTCTCTCCAGCTCGGCCACCGATAAAGGAGGTAGAGGGTTGGGATACTGCAGCTGCTTGCGATAATCCGATGGGAGTAAGTCTGGGTAAAGTCCGATCACATGAGTGGGATCTGACAATCAAGAATGACAACTTGTTACTAAATGTTACTAAATAATATAAAAGGCTCTGAGACACAAGAGAGAGAAAGAGACTCAAAAATTCTAAAAACACATAAAAATAAAACACTCGAGATTTAAGTAGTAATTGTTCAAGTTTAACAATATATATTTTACCCAGATACAGTGTGACTCATTAGGCCAACCTGTTTACTTTGAACAAAGATATTAAGTGTAAACTGTAATGAGCAGAAGTCCTACCTGTTCCAAGTTTGGCAAACACCTGCATCGAATCATCAAATCGCTTCTGGCAAAACAGATTAAAGGCGTACAGATTCTGGATGTGGTGTATCTGCTGCTTCTTATCACCATCCGAATCATCCTTCATCTTCTGACGGGACACAAACAGAAAGCAAAAAGTTTGTCCTGCAACATTACAACCTGCCGGTTTTACTGCAGAAAAATGTTGCATTCCAAGAAGAATAATTCTTTAAATTCTTTTTAAATTTCTTTAAATAACTCAAGAACAAGAAAGATCACCCATGATGTAGAAAGAATCTGTGATTATGCTCACCGCCAGCTGAAGAGCCAGCTCAAACTGTTTGTCCTGAAGAAGCTGCCGGATCTGGCTGGCTATTGACACGGGCACCAGGCGCCACACGAAGTGGTTACTGGCTACATACAAAATATTGGGTCTGCAAGAAAAAAATATAAAAAAATAAAATAAAAACAAGTCCAAATTGAAGCGTAGCCCAACAACATATTAACATAAGAAATAAGAACAGGGTCAAATGATGAAAGCAAGAAATGATAATTGACATACAGTGGATAATGCTCTATTTTTGATGCTCTAACACCAGAGAACTGAATGCGTGATCTACAACCAGCAAGTTTATTCTCATGTAGGCCTGTCACGATAACAAATTTTGCTGGGCGATTAATTGTCTCACAAATTATTGCGATAAGCGATAATATTGCCTGGTGACCATTTTATAACTAATAATTATAAAAGCGTAATATGCAAGTGTAATAAATCAATAAACTTTAATTTTTAAAAGAATGTTTAACAAAGTGGACTCTCAGTCTCTAACAAAAAATGCACTTGAATAAAAAACAAAAACAAAGAACAACAAAATGTAAATTAAACACCGCACACAACTAAGACAGTAAATAAACAATATTAAAGAGCAGCATCTCTTTAGAGATTAAGCAAACTACACAGCCTGGTGAGGACCCACTGTTTCTTATGGGGACATAAGCCCAGTTCACATCCCATGTAAAGTGTAGGCTAGCTTTAGGGTCAAATGGTAATAGAAAATACTGGTAAATGAATGAAAGTCAATGCAAAGTCCCCATGAGGATAGAAGAACAAACATGTCTATGTGTGTGTGAGGAGGGGACAGTCAGTGAGGAGACAAGCAGAGCACTGCGGGGGAGGAAATCAGACAGTTCAGCGTTTTCCTCATGAGTTGTTGGGACAGCTACAGGTTTTTTTGGGTGTTTAGTTAAAACACAGATGGTGCGTTTTAAGTTTTCTGTTATTTTTGGGAGCTACAGGTAAAGTCTTGGCAAGTTTGTCGCGGGTCTGGGGGAGTTTCAGTCCCCACCTCTTCTCCTCCTCTCTCTCTCTGTGTCTCCTCGCAGCAAAATTCAGGCTCTGTAAGTGCTCAGACACTGCAGCAGCCACGTTCTGCTTTGAAACGTTTCTTTAGTTTGTTATTGCTACGAGCTCTCATGCTAAAGCGAGAGTTCGCTCCTCCCGACACTAAGAAAACAGGAGGGGAGGAGTCAGCTGAGCCCCTGTGTAGCAGAGATTAGAGATTCTACATAGAAGCGAACAGTTGAAGTTCTCTAAAAGTTTTATTTATTTGGTTCAAACAATGCAATTTGTACACCTGTGCTGTCGAATACCTGATTTTGTGTTACTGTAGCCAGCCAATCAGCATTCGCTGTACATTATCAGCAGCTACTATTCTTGTTGCTTTGATGCTCTCATCTCTGAGGTTTATGTCTTGTTTCTTATATCTACTTATACCGTCTCAGTCCTGTGACGTTTCGTGTCCTGCATTAAAATGGACTGCCTGTCTCACCCTGCTGAGGTGATGAAGCGAGGTCTCTGCAGCTCCACGCTCTGCACCAACAGCCTGGGCTCAAACGTCCGGATCTCCACGTACCTCGGAAGAACTGCTATGATGTAGGGAGGCTGATGCTCTGCGAACACAAGAAAGAACTGTTACAGAAAAATCGTTTCCTTCGGAGGAAGAAGTTCCAACAGTTAGTCAAATAACACAGAGCCTCCAAACAACAGGGGAGCTTGAACTCATCACTTCTGCGGACGAGGTTTCAGAGCAAACATGGAAGATTTGATAGGAAACACGGAAAATATTTCAACGTCACAGCTCAGAGAGAGAAAGGACAAAATGTTGAGAGGAAAATAGACAAAAACAAAAACAGGAAGCAGTAGGGCAATCATTTCCTGAATGTGTGATCAAATCTATGTAAGATAATGTAAATCAAAACTTATTGTTGAGAAAGATTCAATAATTGATCATTAAATAACTAAAGCCATGTCTCTATTGTTCAGTCTCACTCTATTTGGTTCAGGTCTGTTCTGCTCAAGCATGTGTGTTTGTCTCTATCAGTGTGTCCCTCACTCTGTGGGAGTGACTGTGGGCAGCACGCAGCTTCACCCACTGTGGTGAAAAAGGAAAAAATAAGCTGTTGTGGTTTTATTCTCTAGTAATCTGACTTCCTTTTTTTTCCAGCACTGTTTATAAGTGTGTGTGTGTGTGTAATCACAGGTGGCCAGTTGCTCAGAAACCACTTGGGTAACTTGCTTGCCGGACTGTATTGGGCCTGGCTGGTTGTGTTTACATTGTGCAGAGAGCCGCCTCCCTGTAGGCACCAATTTTAATTTTCTAGACAATGGATCATCTAGAGGGATTTCCATCTGTTATTAAAATCTTACTTAGAACAGAAGACACATTTTCATACTGGTAGCCTATAGAACATAAAAACTACTAGTGATAAAAAGGCAAATGCTGATTTTATTAAATGAAGGAGATAAATTTACCACAGCTAATTTAGTTGTAAGGTAATTTAGTTTTGGGGTTTTTTTCCACCTTGAAAATTTATCCCATATTATTAAGGTTAAAAAGCTTTTTTCCAGCCAAGTAGCCCACCTAAAAATAACTGGTATTCCACCAGCAAAAAGCAAGTTAGTAAGAGAAGTAGAGACTTCAAAAAGTCCATCATTAATTTTGTCAAACAGGCTGGCTTGAATACTAAGACACTAATAGATTTTGAGTGCCATTATCTGATTGTAGGCACAAACAATATAATTAGGCCACTAGGACCATAAATTGTCTAAATGCCACCCTGTTACAGAAACAAAACAAAAAATAGTGGCTGGTAAAAGGTTTGAGTGGCCGGTACAAAACCTTTTCTACCAGCCACTCTGGCTGGTGGGGAAATTTTTTTAATTTCCAGACCTGCTCAAGATACAGGTAAATGTCTGTAGGGGTTGACATGTATGCTCTCAAGAGGAAGAGAGAGAAGATGTCTGCTGATGTCAAAATAGTAAAGGTGTTACTACCCACTTAGAACCAGTGCTGAGGTAGTTCTGAAAGAACAGCTGAAACCAGAAATGGATTTGACTTATGCTGAACCGAGGAGAACCGCATACAGACAAACCCATGGAGTGGGGGCTTAAATACACTGCATGGTATTGAAATGTGACACATCTGCACCCGTGATTTGTAACTTTTATCATTTCAAAACGTAAAACTAAAGCACGGCATGTCATAATTTTCCCTTCTCTTGACCACCATGAATAACGTTTCGATTAAACATCTTTATCATAAAGTCATCAGATGGCTGAGGGAAGAGTTTTCTGTTCTGGTGCGTCATTTTGATTTTTTTTTATATCAAATCTAAGTAAATATCAGAGCCCCGTTTCAGAAAGCAGGATAAGTAGAAATCCTGATTAAGTTCTGGTGTAACTATGTGCACATCCTGGGTTTTGGGTTTCAGAAAGCCAGATAGCAGTTGTCCTGAGTTAACTTACCTTGGCAACTTACTCTGTGAACAAACCCTGCTCCATAGCAGGATTACTGAACAAATCCTGAGTTTGTCTTCCTTTTTCACTGAGAGCTGCAGGAGGACAGAGTCAGGACATAGTGTATCCTTTTCTAAAGGAGCCTGTAGATGTTAGAGTTGATTCTCCACAGAAATTTATGTCGGGAGAGTTAGACGTCTTTCTGGATGAATCTACTCAAGCATTTTTAGATGTTTTTAATTGCTCAAGTTTCAATCTTTTCCTTCAAGTCCAGCTTGTAGCTGTTTCACAGGAAGATTTAGGGACATAAATATGATCAAATTTCATTTACATTTCTACTTTCTAATGAAGTTATGATCAAAGGTTTAAATTCTTACAGAAGTATATATATTTATTTTAATTGTATTTAGAGTTTATTCAGTTTTAATAAAATAAAATGCTGAAAATAAAAAAAAATTACAGAAGAAAGCTGAGCTCCAGAGGGAGCTGGAGCCTCTTCAACCGATTGTCCATCACAGCTCTTTTTCTGATTTCCAATGAAAAGTAAAATAAACTTATATGAAATATTCGCAGAGAGAAGATGGAGAAATGCACATTATTTTTCGTGGGACACGCAATAATTTTGTGTGTTGAAGCTAGTGAATTAAGTGATTTATTTGTTAAAGGTTGAACATAAGAGCTTATACCTGGACCTAACTGAACTCAGGGGTAACTTGACTCAGAATTAAGTTACCCAATTGATATCAGCTGTTTTGAAACTGAAAATCCTGAGTATCACAGAGCGGGTTAGGTTGATTGAGACCATTTGCGTCAACCCAAGGTTTGTTAAGCCTGCTTTCTGAAACGGGGCCCAGGAGATAACAGAGAAACAACACACTGGGTTGTTCCAAAAGTGACCTCAGAAAAGAAAGACACGGCTGAAGTATTGGTTGAGAACTAGAGAAAAAAAAAACACTGTTGTGTATTTTTCTTACCCATAGTAATAGGAATATCTGTCCAGTTCAGGGCACATTTCTGGGTGCAAGTTCCTTCTTCATTAAGTACCACAGTCAGGTCATCCTGCCCAACAGCAACCTTCCCATCAGCCAGTGGGGCGACCAGAGGTTCTAACTGTTTCCCAGTGGGGAACAGCTCTTTAATGCTGCCACGACCGTCCATCTAATTGTCCAGATAAAATGTCCAGAGGTTAATAAACATTTAGGCATATCCTAGATGCCTTAATATGAATATGTTTACACAAACAAAAGCACTACAAACAGGAAAAAAAACAAGCACTTTTAACTGCACACTGACAAGTTTAAAACAAATATTTGTGTGTTTGTTTTTTACCCGGATGAGGTAATAGTCTCGTTTGAAACCAACACATATGGAATTTTCACACCAAGCCATGGACTTGGGAATATCAGGCACGCCCAAGTCGCCCTGAGAGACAAGAATAAAACAGTGAGTCGGCCTTAATATATTAAGTGGTTAGGAAAAATAAAAATAAACTTAAATCACACTGTAATGGCTCACATGTTCAGTGTGATTTAATTTTACCTGCAGCTCATGGAACTCTCTGTCCTTCCAGTAATACAGCTGGAGCTTCTTTTTCACCGCCACACACATTCTGAGCCTCTCCTCTCCTGAGTCGTTTTGCTGAAAACCATAGACAAATGCACAGTTTTACGTATAAATTAGCTTTAAAATGTGTATTAAATCACTGTAAAGCAAAAATTGTGAATAGTGGCATTTGTTTTGGTTACACAGGAAGGCTGTAACTGACCTTTAAGTCACATGCAAAGAGCGTGGCTCCTTTGGCTTTAGACACCACAGTGATTTGCTGAAAGGTCAGTAGGTCATGGACGTGGATGTTATTCTCTGGAAAAAATGAAGGAAATTCCTGTATGAATGTCTAAACAACAAACACATATGCCGTCTATGTGTGTCGGCGTAAAAACTGATTTTAAAGGTGTTTATCTCTGTTAAGCTGTACAAGATCAAAAAGAATGTGGACGGTTACTCCAAAGTCAGGAATGAACCTTAAATTAATGCAGCATTTCAGGCAGATAAAAATATGTTGATAAAAACTTACCCAGAAGACTGACAAGAATTTTGTACTGGGAGACAACGTAAAGCTAAAGAAAGCAAGAAACAAAATGAAATCAGTCTGTGTGAATCCAGAACATCAGTTAACAGTATAAACAAGGATTAAATGCTAAATCAATGTACATGTTTAAGAGAATGATAAAGCCTAGATTGTTAAAAAAAAATGAAACAGTATAATCTGTATCCATATAATTTGTTGTTTTAGAAAGATTTGATGTTTTTGTTTGTTTAACTGAAGATTATTATTGTTTGAAGTTAGATCTGAGGAAAAAGGGGCAGATGTTATAAGATTTTTTTCTTCTCTCTGCCGCCTTTCATTTCATTTGTACTCTTTTTTATTGTGCATAGAATTACTTTTGTTTTTTTAAGAGATGATTAAAGTTTGAAAAATAAAATAAAATGAATTCAAAAAATAAAAATACAGTTTTTGACTGAAATTGTTTTTTCTACACCTAAAGATATTACAAGAGCCCCACCCCCAACACACATCTGGGAGCCTTATTGTAAGTTTCAGTTCCCAAAGTGTGCAGTTTACTAAAGCTCACTGCCAATTTACATTAACGTACAAAATTAAATAGTTGTGTCTTCTACTTTACTGTATACTTTAAATTTAGGTTGCCCAATTACGAGTTAAAAATGTACCTAATATGTTAAATTTGAAACAGAACATCAGAAGTCTGCCTCATACATGCCAACATTTGCTGGGACTGATTACCCTTATTTAGTTTATTATTTACACCCTGAGCACACACGAGGACTGCAAAATATATGAAAAATTTATTGTCATCGCAATAACAGCCTGTGCAATTAACTACAATAAATGGTTGGCTCAAAAGTTTGCATTTATGCATTTTGTCACTCAGACGAAAGCTTGAAGTATTTCACCAATCAAATGGAGCCCTTCATGTATTTGGTCAACTGGATAGATCCTCATATTGTTTTTAATTCATGCTGGAACGGAAACGTTTTTTTTGCCCTGAATTCAGAGCAGAAAGACATTAATACTACATACTTATGTATTTGTTTATCACAAGTCATATTGTCATCACAATAATAAGCATTGTTATCACACATCGCAGGTTTTCCTGATATCGTGCAGCCCTACTGAGCACCATAAGTTAGTCTTGACTGCATCATACGATATTTCCATCATAAAATATCCTCACCACAATAAAACACCTCGTGTACTAATAAAGCAGGTGACCCTGAGACCCCCATCTAGGATGACAATCTGGACTGTTAACCTGTGGGCAGGGAAAACTGAGGTGTTGACAATGAAAATGGAGAAGTTGTTGGTTTTTGCAAGAGTGGATTTGGCGCTGATGAAAAGAAGCTGTTTTGTCACTATTCAGTTTAAGGAAGTTGCTGGAGAACCAAGATCTGACATCATGTACACAGTTTGTTGGATCGCAATCCGTTATTTACTCGTGAAATGGTGCTGCCTTCCTCAGATGATGCGATGCAGTGTGTGTTTTTGGACAGAAAACTCTGAAGTCTGGTCTCATTTGTCTCTGTGAGCTGTGCACAGCAGGTGGTTGTGTAGCTGGTGGTTAGTCAGTTTAATGTTGCTGCCTGTGAAATGCTGTTGTAGATATCATTTGAAGGAAAATAAGGTGGTCGTGTTGGGAGGATGGGACCCTGTGCTGTTCTCCCTCCGATTCTGACACACATATTTTGTTTGGTTTGTAAGAGATTTGAGTTAGTACAGGAGTAAAATAACTATTGCTGCACTACAGAGATAAAAACAAGACTGTTAAAGGGATCCCTGATTAGTTGTAACATTACACTTTATTTTACAAACGTATTTTAACTGTAAAATAAAGACTGTAAAAATACTGTAGGCTATTTAGTTTTGTAAATTTTTTAAAATATATTTCAACACGGACGGAGCCATTTTATTTACACATAAAGCATTCTGTGTAAATGATGACGTGGATAGGTCCTCGGTGCGAGGCTGCTAGTGAGCTATATCCACCCTGAAGGTTAATCTTGGACAATATCTGATGATTGTCTCTTTTAAATGAAACCAGAGAGCGTTGACAGAGAGGAGAAGGTAGAAATGACTCAATCTGTAACTGAAAATATGGATGGAGGACAACAGAGCTGCTTCATGGAAGAAGAACCTCAGCTTAGCCAGTTAGCCTTTGTGCTAGCGCCGATTCTATATTGCATTGGCTGTGTCCAAAACCACAGGCCGGGTCCTCCGGAGGACCCAGACTCCCCGGTCGCAGTGGGCCGGGTCCTTGGTAGACCAGGAAGACCGGAAAAAAAGAGGCTGTGAATTTGGACGGTCTATCCTCCCCTCCTTACCCCGG